GCGAGATGACGCTGGCTGTAGCCTCATGTATACTTTGGACATCGCCTGGCTCACTCTTTTCGAGCTTGTTGCTGGCTTCTGAAGAAACTCGTTCGGCGACCTCTTGTCCCTCTCGTTCAGCTTGCTGCTTAGCTTCAAGAGGTTTTTGTTTCTCCTCATTTTGCGTAGTCACGCTGGTCGTAGCCTCCTGTATACCTTGGACATCGCCTGGACCATTCTGATCGATCTTGTTGCTGGCCTCCAAAGTGTTCTGTTTGGCGGCTTCTTGTCCCTGTCCTTCGGCCTGCTGCTTGATTTCGAGGAGTTTCTGATGCTCGGCAGCGTGTTGTTGAGCTTCGAGGACTCTCTGCCGTTCAGCGTCGCCGTCTGCACGTTCTGCTGCCTCGCGATCCGCTCTCTCCTTGGCTTCTCGGATTTCGCGTGCCTTTTTTTCCGCGGCTATACGCTCTGCTTTTATCAAAGCCTTGCGAGCCTCTTCAGCAGCACGTTCAGCAGCTTCCTGCTCAGCTTTTTCCTCAGCTTCGCGGACTTTGCGAGTGTCTCGGGCTTTAAGCGTCGCCGCCCTACGTTCTTTTTTCGCGGCAATGCGTTTCTCACGATCAGCAGCATCACGTTTTGCTTTCTCCTCCATCTCGCAGACTAGCCGTACTGCTTCTGCTGCTTCTTTCCTTTCGCGAACTAGCCGTTCGGCTTCTGTTTCTTCTTTCGCTTCGCGAGTGTTGGAGGCCTCAAATGGAGTTGATGAGCCGTTAGACATGTTGTAATGATAGACTGAAGGACTAATAGTGGAAGATGTGGTGGAAGATGCGATGAGAATTGCTTGCGTTTGAAGAAGTGCTTGCGTTTGAACGAGGGCGATAACAGACGAAGAGTTATCACAAGAGGCGAGGAAGGAGCGACATAGTTTTTGTATGACACGCTTACGGGCAGTAGCAGGCTGAAGATGTTGAAGGAGGAAGCTTGTGAGCAGCTGCGAAGCACGCTTCTTTGGCTTGTATGCCGATCGTTCGATTCGTGGGTTTCGACACTACCTTCAACGTCATGGGAAGTCGGGCTCTTGGAGGGTCTGAAAACGGCTCAAAGGTTTGCAAACAGCTTAATAGATAAACGTATCCCAAAGACAAACATAATGATACGAGCTACGAAAAATAACAAATGCCCCTGGACAACCTGTTGGCAATGCCTTATGAGGTCAAAAACCGCTGCTGCAGAAGCTTAATTACGAGATATGCGCAGCCAGGGTGCAAAAGAAGTGTACTTGCATTGCGAGGACTCTCTGCAAGTCATTATCATTTGTCTGCGCTGAGAATTGTGCTAACCCTTTCCTAGCAAGTGGAGAGATGGTCGTTGTGGTCTCATATTCCCTTTCGCAAGATGTCGTCAAGCTGCGGCAAGATAGCAGCAGGGCGTCGAATCTCTATGGTCCCATATGAGGCCTCCAAAAAGGTGATCCTTGACTTACAACAGATAGAGGAAATGATCTCATCCCATGTTTCTAGAGTACTGAAACAGGAAAGATACGGTGCATGTGGCGAGGAACTCGTGCGGAGAGTATACAGGAAAGGACGAGTTGAAGCGTCTTTGGTGGCTCTCAGCCCCGAGGCGTAGGTACCTCAAAATGTTCGCCGGCGAGGGCAAGAAGAGCCACCCGAGAGGCACGGTCAACGAACTTTACTATGAGTTCAAAACCAGCGGCAGGCCAACGCCTGATTCGACTAGTTATGCGTTGACAATCGTCTCTTTTGCCATAATCCCATCTGCCTTTCCTCATCCTGCCGTTCATTTAGCGGCCTCTTTCTCCCTCATCAGCTTTTGCACAGCAGGAGATGCTTCATAACCCGATTTGAGTGGTTTCAAAACATATTTCTTCTTTACGAGCATCTCGTCCACGCACTCCCTCGCCACCTGATTATTTTTATACAGCGACTCCCCTTCAGGAGTCTTCATCCATTCCTGCACCAAGGCTAATGCCTCCCTGGGAATAAAGTCCCATTGTGTCCCGAACCGAGCAGGATTCCCTGACCGCAGAGGGCGGATCAGCTCTACCGCTTGTTGATAAAATTGGCGGAACCATCGTATACGGGCGCATTCAAGGATGGCTTCCGAATAACCGGCGTCGTACGCTATCTCGAACCATTTCTCTGCGTAAAGGGCACGCCACTGGGCGCCGCGGAGTTTCGCATGGTCCATACCTTTTTGAATCAACCCAGTTGGATCCTCAGTTGGTTCAGGACGAAATCTGTTAACAAAAGAGAGCGCCATATTATCAAGTCGTTGCGGCCATGCTATGCAAGGGTGGTTGAGAATCTCATCCCGTACAACGCGATCCTTGATCGTATCAATCTTCTCAAGAGGAAGGGAGTAGACCTGTCCCAGCCTGTAGGCACTTTCAGCGTCCCCTGACGCAGCTGCCTTGATTCGAAAGTTGATCCAGTCGGAGGTTAAAAGGGGGAGTGCTCGTTCATCTACCTTCCGGCCATCCTCGTCATTATAAACAGAATTTTCGTTGTCCTCCCAGAAAAGCTCACCGTCTTCGCACTGCGATAGAAAGATATACGCTCTTGGGTCATCGAAATCGAGAGCCGCTCTCCGGAAACACTCTTTGCTCTTGTCAAAATCATAGTATGGGTTGGTGTCTGGGTCACCATCGCAATGCTTGTCTGCCATAGCCAGCCAGGCGGAGCATATATCCAGATCAGTACCTTGGATAAGTTCCAACTCTGCTTCAGACTCGGACTTATTCGTCGCGGAGCTCTGTTCTATGGGTGTAAATGTGGCGTCGTCTTGTAATGATGTAATCCTCATGTACAAATCCATTGCTGCTTTGGAATTACCTTGAGACTCGTGCACCTTAGCTGCGAGCATCAGAGCAGGCACATATGTGCCCTCCCGGACAAGCGAATTGAACGCATTTCTCTCTTTCGCGAGGCTTGAATGATTGAATTGGCTCTGCTTGTAAGCTAGATGCAGGTTGTATACTATGGCTGTGCGAGAGCCAGCCCTGCAAGCCGTTGCCAGAAGTAGCTGTCCTTGCCGTCTGTCCCAGGCATTTCGAGATTTGAGCTGAATTCTCGAGATTTGCACAACATCATCTATATCGACTTGGAGATCTGTCGGACGTGTTAACGACGTGAGATAACCAGATGAAATGCAGTAAAAGCTTCCATACATTTACAGATTCCTACCAGTTTATCTGCAGTAGGCTCCATCCCCATTTGTTCAAACTTGCCCCTCAATATCCGGCATTTTGTTCCGTTAATGTTCAAAAAACCCTTTTGGTATGCCGTATCAAACACCGCATCAGGTATTGACTTCTCCTGCTCTTTTCTAGCCATACTAGGAGCATATAATTTATCTCTCAATCCCCCACCAGTTGATTTGTTATTCCCATTTACGCTTGCTTGTGGCGTGACTTGCTTTGCTTTCGCAATCCTCTGCGCCAATTCAATCTGCTGTCGTACCAGATCCTGAGGATCTTTCTTATTAGACCACCCCTTCATCTCTTTATCCATCGTGATGGGAGCTTTGCGAACGAATTTTCTGCTCCCAGGTTGGCGTATTTGAGGTGAGAATTGGCAAAATATACAGACTTCGTTTGGGGGAAGAAGTGCTGCCCTTGGACGGAGGAGCTGGCGGCGCATTATGTCGAGTTTGATATCGAGTTATATAGGTGCTGGTAGAGGGACGTTTCGATCGTGGTGGGTTTAATTATTCACATTCCAGATGAGACGGAGCGAGACAGTGAAATCGAAGAGCTTTTTAGTAGAGAATCTTATGCTGATGCATGATTAGATGATTATTTACTGATTTCGCGCGTAGTTTGAAGTCTGGAAAGTCGTTGAGGCCTGAGGCACACAATATCATCTGATCGACATCCCAATCTGGTAATTTATGTCGGGTTCCTGGTCCTTGCTCGGCTTTGACGATTCACGCGGTGGAGGGACGGGTAGACAGAATTGATTGATGATTAATAAGAGACACGAGATCGAAGCTTGAAGCAATAGTAGTTTGCATTTCTATAATAATAAATATCAAAACCCATGCAAATCATTATAACATGAGCCTAAAACCAAGCCAATCATTAGAAAATCAACCGTAAATCTTTGCAAATCAGCAGCATGCATGCACATCTCCTGTCTCCCTTGAATTCTTAGAAAAAAAGTGCCAACCCCGCATTTTCCAGCACTTCCAAATTCAAATCAGTAATCGGAACAATGACACCATCCCGTCACACTTACAGCTCAATTGTAAAGAGGCCATGGCTGCGGTACTGGCTTAGGCTTCGACCCCTTAGGTCCAAGAACCACAAAAGGAGCCTCCCATTGAGAGTGAGAGTTATACGGTGGCCATGGCTGAGGATCAGGTTTGGGCTTAGGTCCCTTAGGACCGAACTGGCTGGGGTGAGCGTTGTATGGTGGCCACGGTGGAGGTGTAGGCTGAGGCTTTGGGCCTTTGGGTCCGAAGACAGAGGGGATGGGAGTGTACATGTGCGACATGATTTGCTGTGGTCGTCTGAGTTGATGTAGGAGTAGATTTGGTGAGAGGTTTGAAGGGGAATGTTTTTATGAAGAAAGGAAGAAGGAGGGGTATAGGATCCTCGCATTTTATACTGGAAATTGATATGAGCAATAGTAATGACGCTATCAGTGAATATGGAATACGTCGACGTGAATGTATACTTATGGTTGTGAAATAGCAATAGGCTGTGAATGGCACAGCAATTGTATCCTAAACAAGGACGCGAAGACTAAAACGGGAACCACTTGTGATAGAGCGTCACAGTACACGCACTTGAAAGAAGTAAAAGGAAGGATTGGGATAAATCCAGTGAAGTCCCACCGTACTGTAATACTGTGATGTGTCAGGCAAAAACATGACGGTGAATCCTCACTCATCCCAGCGCAGGCCACACAGTACTGCGTGACGGGAAAAAGAGCTACACTTGAATAGAACACTGGAAAACAGTATACAGTGAAGTGAAGACCAAAAAGATAATGTACGGGCTCTACCGCGGGTCGAACGCGGGACCTCCAGCTTTTTTGACTCTAAGAAACCCAAAGCAGGCTGTTCAATATTAGTTATTACTCTCAAGTCCAGGGCTGGGATAGTTAGACTCACATCATACCACTAGACCATAGAGCCGCTTCTTGTTGTTAGACAGTCTGTGCGAAGGAGTATATGATGGGTTAGTTGGTGGTGAGTCATTGGGACGGATGGTGGCTATGCATCAGCGAAAGCATGCTCCACACGTAGTTGGCACGCCTGCTGTGACTCACCGTCTGCCAAGGCAGCTTGTTGAAATAGAGATCAGATTAGAAAGATTGAAGAAGAAATGAAGTGGAAATATTTTGATGACATTGGACAAGGTCAATAAAGGTTCGTGAATGTATCTCTGACCTTGTCGTATTTGACACACCGTCCAGTGCTTACAATACCAACGCCTAGAATCTACCCGAAGGTCCGCCAACAAGCCTCCTCTGCAGCTTTCCTGCCATATTAACCTTCTTCTTTCCCTTTAACGCACTCAAAGCAATCGCAGACCGTCCTTTCATCCATGATTGACGGATTGACCTGCTGTTTTCGGTAGCCTTTGGAGGGAGCAAGGAATTTGTCTTGGTCATGACACGAACTTGTTTGTCTTCGAGAATGAGATCTTGAGGAGGTTTGGGCTGCGGTGCACGCAAATGACCGGTACTATTATTAAATGTTGTTTTCGTGTTTCTCTGAATCTGAGATGTCGTTGGCGGAGGACTATGGAGTCGAAGTGGTGCTTCCGTTGCTAGGAGTTCATCTGGCAGCAATGTTGGAAGATTGTCCAAGCTGTACGACTTTGCTGGCGCTGACGCTGGCTCGTCCTTGTCCTCCACCATGGCCAACTCCTCTTCATCTTCTGAATCTACGTGCGTCTGCTCGAGTTCCGCCTGGACATCCTTTCTAACCCTCTTCTCTGACTTTCCAGCCTGATCTTTCAACTTCTTACCCCTCTTACGCCTCTTAGTCTTCTTCGCTTGCTTATCCTCCAAGTCCGCTTTCCTAGCCACAGCTTCAATTGCACGGGATTGGGCTTGAGCAGCAGAGTGTGAGATGGCTTCGGGAGCAGCATCGTCATCGCTAACCTCTTCCGGGTTGGTTTCTATCGCTGGAACTACTGCTAGTTGAGCAATTGGCGCCGGTGCTACTACTGGTGGGGGAGAAGTGCTGCTAAAGCGGATGTGATTTCGAGATGGTATTGTGGTAGTAGCGATGGTTGCTTCTGAGGATTCGATGATTTCACTTTTAGTTCTCAAAGGCACGGCTTGAGCTTCTCCGGAGTTGTTTTCATTTTCCAAGCTCTTCTCCTCGTCTGAGGATTTCTTCCGTTTTGATTGTGTGACAATTGATGGCTCTTCCTGATGAGCCCGCTTTCGCGCAATTCGATGTGAAGATGGTGATTCGCTATGAGTATCGGCGCCTCCTCGTGTGGTGGCCATGATTTCTTTGGTTGCGATATTGAATTAGAGACTATTTTCGTGGTCTCGATAGTGTAAAAGAAAAGTTGATAGCCAAGATATTTGCTCCGCACTAGCGCCGGAGATAATACGAGCCACCCCTAGAGAGCCAGCACCCACTACGTTCCTCCTTCTCTAACCAAAGACGGATTATTGTAATCAGCACCATCGTCAACATCAACATCATCTACCCTGGCGTCCTCATCCGTATCGCGTCTAGAGGAAGCAGTCAAGGAGTCATCCAGGAGCTTTGAGTGTACTCAGATTAATCAGAGTTCCTTACTCTCAAATCTAGCGTTTTCAGCTCTCGTAGTGACCCAGCAGGCCAAGCCTGGAAGTCAAGACAAAGCAAGTAATGAAGATAAGATGTAGAGAGCTCTTTAGGTAAATGCCTCTTAGCAAGTGAAAAGTTCATGATACGTTGCAGTGGAGATGGGGGGACCATTCAGAATTAGAGAAGAGAACCACTCATATTACAGCTGACAGGAAAGCATGGTATTCTGAAAGCAAAAGATTTTGAGCTATTATTCCTCTCTCAAGAAGGTTTTTATGATCTGCTTGATCTTTGCATAACCCTTCAGCGCATAACACCTGCCTGATCGCTACCTTGCCCGATTCATTTTTCATTTCATCCTGCAAATCCCATTACCTCCAGCTCGTGAACAAAATGATTATACGTGAGTGATGTCTTTGCAAAAGTAACATAGTTCCTGCCCGATATGATGGTGTTCAACCTCAGGTACACCAGTTCATGCTTAAGGTGATGCGTTGGTGGTGGAACTTCTACGCTGCTTCTGGTGGATACTCGCATGCTAGGAGGTCTCTGGAGAGCTCGTTGAGATTGACCCACTTCTTTCCCTTGATGCCTTTATCTTGGATATCATGCTCTTCAAAGGAGTGGTGGGAAGACATGACACGGTGCTCTTCTTCTCGCGACCCTGACTGTGATTCTGCTACAGCTCCAACGCGGTTGACGAAAACGCTGGTGTGCACCAGGGGGATTTGTTTTGCGTTGTCGTGTGCATCGACAGTGTCGTTCAGGATAGCTTGAAGTTCAGTGGCCAACAGCTCAAATTGTCGCCACATGTAATCATCCATAATATCTCTTGTTTTCTTCAACCACCAGCGAGTATTGAGGATCTGTACTTCACACAAATGCTTCAATCTTGCCAGTTCCCCAAGACCAGAGACACGTACGTAATCGATAACCTCCTCAGACCATCTCGCTTTCAGCTCTTCATCGGTAAAGCTGGGCCCCGGTGCAATGTGATCATCAGCAAATGGCCAAGCAGCAGGTAGTGTAATCGTAGGCTCCGTAATCCTATGGAGCGCTTGATTGGATCGATGCCTCGTCGAAAGTTGGGCCCAATGTCCATGTTGAATTTCACGACAAGTGATTTGATTCTTGTGAGCTCAATGTTGTTGTACCTAGCCCAATTGAACAGCCATTCCATATCCCTAAAATCTTCCAAGTATATTGCGCACTTGTCGAGCAGGACAGGCGCTGCTTCGTTGAGTACCTGGTGGTTTCGAATTGAGAGTAAGGCATGTAGGCTGTGAAATCTTCGATCTACGTGAAGCGGATGCAAAAATTCCTGTGGGAAGAGAAACGGTTGCTCTTCGGCCACGAACTCGTAGATGGTGTCGCGTATCTCCCGTGGGAACTCTAAGAATCTGGGGAATGCGAAATCGGAGGAAAGTTGGAAACAAGGGACAGCAGACTTTTTCTTCTGGAGGGTAAGGCTACTGAGGGTCTCGTGGAGTTGCGAATTGCGCTCTTGAAGGACTTCTTCGTGTTTTGCTTTGAAAGCCTCTGTAAGACGCCGAGCAATAGCTTGATTGCGTATGATTCTTTTGCGCACCATGGACCGTGGACCATATTTTTTGGTGATGAGAAACTGCTTTCATGTCAGCGTATTGTAGTAGAGAACTTGTTTGAATGAAACTTACATCATGGGCGAACTCGAGTGTTGGGCGGGTTGAGGTATGATCGTGAGTTTCAAGAACCTTTGGAGCAGCGATGGTAGCGGGTAAGTCCACACCTTCCCCAACTACTGTTTTAGGAACATCTCCCTTTCGCTTCTTGGAGACTGCCTTACCCGGCAATTTCTGTCTCTTTCTTGGATTTAAGGGCTGGGTGATCGAGCTTAAGTTAGATTGCTCGTCCAACAGGTCTTTCAACTCCCGACGAGCTTTCGAGACATTCTCCTCATATTTTCTGCTCGCATTAGATTTTTTGCCTTCGTATTTGCGCTTTTGATTATTCGGACGCGCCATGAGAAGATATTGCTGATGCGCAAAAGAAGAATTGAAGAATGAGAGTTTCTTGAGTTACGCCGTCCACGGTGGACATGGTCGCAGGGTTTGCAGGGAAAAGACAGATCATAGAGTGATTGGAATACAAGAAAACTCTGGACTCCTTGAAACGGGTGCTTGTGGTTCATTGGAGTGTGGGTCGTATAATTTTCTGCTCCTGTCGTCCGGCATTCGAGTTGTGCCGGAATCCAAGACACGTATAACATTTGACGATATATTTCAAAATCCTCTGATACTATATCGGCTCCTGAAATATCGAAACGTTGCTTTCCAAGCTCTTTCATGTTGCTGACATGCAACAGGGTTAATCACTGGCCATGCTGGATCAGAGAGCACTCGCTTTCGTCTCGACTTGGAAGAGGGCTATTGCCAGTATATAATTTTCCCATAATTATCTGAGCCTCGTGAGCATACTTGCATTGACCGCAGTGTCGAACGGTTGTCAAAATAGCATCGTCGAACACTACAAAACCCCACATGCACCGTTTCGAAATTGAACACATAACGTAATCCAATCTGTCACCATTCTTAGCATTGAATTCCAGCACTGGGAACAAAGCATATATGATTTCAATTGAAGTCTTCAGGCCATGAAAATATGAGCACTGACTATCAGACCTTACGCAATTCAAGTTCCCGAAGAAAGCAATCACCTTATCATTTGACGTTCAATCCTAACAATGCAAAACTCGGGAGCTGAGGAAAAGGAAACAGTGTGACCATGTCGCTATAATGTGCAATCAGCAAAAAGGCCGATGTACACTTCCAGTAGTAATAAATGTTACACCTCTCAAACATTAAAAGCGCACGCCTTCAGAACTCACACTAGTCCAAGCGGCATCCATTCACTGTAGCAGTTTACTTGAGGCGTGATAGCAACTGAGCTACGTTTTTCTAGAACCTGTTGGTGTCAATGGCCCAAGACTATGGAAGCAGATGACAGCCATTATCACGAGCGAGCAAAAACATATTGTGTGCTTGTTAGGATGGAGATCCAATTAAGCCAAGCTGACGTAATGTTTACTGAACTCTGCCTTGGTAGATGTAAATTGTGGAACGTACATACCTCTTCCCGATCTATTAATAATAACTGATCGGTCCCGTAATAATACGGGCCACTAGCTCCTTCCCGAGGTGGGAATTCCCGAGGTGGGATGGCGTGGAACTAAGTCAGCGTACTCTTCGTGTGGCCTACTTCGATTCCGCTACTTTGGCTTTTGTCGAGCTACTAACTGCGAAAATGTGATTATATCCACCACGCACAATACCATCTCCTTAAAAATGAGTTATCATCGGCCATTGGCACATATGGATCCTTCATTGATAACTGCCTGTATAATGAAAAAAAAATCTTTTCATGCGAAAAACCAAGGTCCTCCTTCATTGAAATAACAAGAAGCAAAACTGCTAGTATTCCGGGCCGTTTGTTATTGTGCTCTTACAAAGGGCAAGGTCCGCGAACGGGGAGGGAAATTGCATGTGATTGCAGTTCAAGGTCCTAGCAGATTTCTGATTAACTGGCAACACTTCTGCAATAATTATGCTTAACATACCGCTCCAGCCAGTTCCACTTGTCCCTGAGCAAGATCTCTCGATGCCCTCCATGCCTCGCGCTCTCTCTTGCCGGGCCTTATCCGCCGTCTGCCTATTGATCCCTGTAGTGAAGAACGATATTAGTCATAACGTGATGAACATCATCCATTGGAAAACTCACAAGTTCCAGAAACTCGGACTGTGCCTGTGGCAAGCTCTCTGTTCCATCCCCAAAAACTGCTGTATGTCTCTTACTCACGTTTGAATCTCCTTCATCGTGCTTGCGCTTGGCGCTCTGTTATATATATATGCGGTAAGTCGATGTGAGAATAACTTGTGGAGTAATGCTCTTACCGTGAAGATGAAATCCTCATTTACGCTCTGTTCCGGTTTCGATCCCTCCACTCGAGACCTTTTATTTTCTTCCAGCTCTTCACCACCGCGCTTCCGCTTTTGCGACTACATAAATAGATATTAGTCACCGTAAACACGTTGCGCAAAGGTAGGGACGATGCCATTACCGTGATTCCTAGTGACACATCCTCAAGCCTTTCTAGGCCATTGCTCTGACCCATTACCTCTCTCACCGATGCGGTCTATAAAGAGGAAAGAAGTGATTAGTCTTTACTCTTATGCTTCACCAAGAATTACTCAGTACTTACTAAAGCCATCATGGCAGCATACTCATCCGCCTCCGCCATGAGCCCCTGAACTTCTCCTTTCCATTTCCTGTGCTTATTTTCATTGAATGCCCTGGGCTTCCGAAGTGCGCGTAAAGCCCTGCGTTCTGCCCTGCGTTCTGCTGCGCTTTTCTTGGGTTGCTCTTCTTCCATATTTGGACTGGTAATAAGATTGTGATCCTAGAGTGATTGTCAAGAAAATAAAGTTGGAGGACAAAGGTGGATTATGTTTAGTCACAATTTTGGATTTTGAAAAAGTCGCCTAGCGTCATCGCATTGTGACTACGCCAACACACATTGCCCAATTTAACCATATAGTGCGAGCTTCACAGGGTGTATTTCTTATGGGCGATCAGGGAACACCTTACCTGCGCCGGTGATTGTCATCCCAATTAGATCGTTTATGAAGCCGCATGATGCGCAGCTTAGAATGTGAGCTGCCAGGGCTATACTCCTCCAGCCAATTGAAACTCGGACAGGCTCTAAAGAGTCCCCAGCTGAAGAACCTATACTTGTGAAGCTTTCAGTAGATTGAGAGCTTCTAGTATCGAGCTGTTGGATGATATCCGGAAGCTAATAGGATCAAAGAGCTTTTCTAATGTACCTAAATTAGTTTATCGACCACATGGATTCCAGCTACATACGACCTCCAATTGGTAAGGGAAGCATTTCACGTGCAAAGTTCTTGGCATGCACGAAGTCTGGGTTTGGGTTTTGAAGAATGTGAGGGGACGGCCTTTGGCAAACGAGAATGGGTCTAAAATAGAACCATGTAGAACTATGGAAATGAGATGAGGGGAAAGGAGAGGGAGTAGGTGACCATGAAAGGTTGTCAGAAGCCAACGAGTAGAGGTGGGGATAAGAGTAAATGTTAAGAAACCAATTAAAAAATTGTCTGTACCCTACCGGTATTGAGACGTAAAATCAATCAATTTGAATTATAGAGCTATGCAATGTCTTGCAACCTTAGCCAGCAATTAAGGAACTAGCATCAAACCTCCCAAGCCATAGACGCCATAACATGCCCATAGAATTCTATAATCATCCTTGCTGAAGCGGAAGCAATATCCCCCACAACTCCATATACACCCGTTCCTGGTCGGTGAGTCCAAAATGAGTTATTTGAAAATAGAGGAAAGGGTCCCAATGTTGTAGGCAACGCCCTTATCCCCCAAAGACTTCCTGGGTATCTAGGACGAGCCCAAATGTGGCCGTATTGGATATAAGGTGGATTCTGAAGCATATCCCTACGAACGGGTCTGAAGCAGAACTTTAGCTCGGCTGTTTTGTAAGAAAATCAAAGAAGAGAGTGCGGGAGAAAGCTACGAATTTACGGCTGTGAAACCACCAGCACTTGGTGCAGCTGCGCCACCCGCTTCGCCCATCTCGCTATCTCGATTGCCGTTTTGATGCGCCACCGCTGTAGGTCTAGCCTCGCCGTCGTCGATAATAGAAGATTGCCTGTTATCGTTGATCGCAGCAAATCCAGACCTTGACCCCGAAGCAGCACCGCCATCGCCATTCTCCCGCCTCTCCTCTCTTGTTGGATCGTAGGAGTGCGCACGCGGTGAGGGCACTGCTGGTGTGACTGACATTGCTCCCATGGGAGGCATTGCCGATGTACCGTTCATTGGACCTTGTGGAGTACCTTGCTGAGGGGGAGCATAGGGGTTGGTTACAAACTGTGTTGGGAAATCATTAGCGGATGAATCGAGGTTTATCAGTTCATTAGATGGATCTTCTCCCACGGTAGGAGAGATATTTGATGGGCCTGCCGCGCCGGAAGCCGAAGGTGGTGGGGTAGCCTTTGAACGTTGACCAACGCGTTTTGATCGGAGAGGCTTTACTTGTGGCTGTTGAAAAAGTACGTGTATCAGATAGTGTTTTTACCGAATAAAATCTTGTCAGGGGGTTGCGCTGTTTGTCGAGTGGGAGTGCTTATTATGGGGGGAGGATATGTCGAAAAATCAAAACGCTTGCAATGGATGTTAGAACAAACTTACGGTATGTGGCTCACTTATACTCTTGTCACTATCATCAATATTCAACTCCATGTTCTGTCCGATCTTCTCTAGCATCATCGCTCTCTCCAGCCGTAATTTCAGAATGGCGCGGTTGATGCGCGCTTTTCGTATTCGTAATGTGTCATTGTTCTCTTCGATGTCGTTGATACGCCGCTTGAGCTCTATACATTTCCTGTAATATGCTGTTTCGACCGACGGTGGTAGAGGGCTGTTGGAAGAGACGCCGCGCATTACGCGTGCTGTTATTGGATCGACTTCGGCCATCGTGGGGGAGGATTTTTGTTGTTGTTGAGGTGTTGGAGCAAGTTTGGGAAAGTCGCTATTGAAATGTGGTTGGAAGGTGGTGGTTGGTGCCAAGAATGAGGCTCTACGTTTTTTGTGGGGAAGTTACCGCTCACATCTCGTGTTGTTGGCAACGACGACTCCGGAACATGTTTGGTGGAGTGGTGGTATGTCACAACTTTTCTCATCTCAACTGCCGATATTAACAATATTAGCTCACTGAAAATCTGCGCTATCCCATCGCCTCATTCTTTAATATCCAGAGCAGCTCTGGAGTCTGCCCTCCCTGGCATTGTGGCCGTCATGCTCAAATCTGGAAGGAGTTTTGTCGGCGGAATAGAATTTCTCATAGAATCTGAACTAAGCCATGCTTATCTCAAGACTAATTTTACGACCTTACCAGAATCGTACCAATTTGGATAGGTTATTAGAGCGCTGATTTCTGTGTAATTCCATTGCCAAGATGTATTTTTTGTACTCTGTTCAGCTTCACCTAGGACTTTCTATACTGTACACCATTTTTTCAACATCCTCTCGGGTCTTAGATACGTAGCCAACTGCGCCGCTTCTAGCCGATACGTTTGCCTGACTCACAACCACATTCACAAACTTACAACTTCCCAGGCCATGCAAGCAAACTATATACAGCTGTCGGTGACTTGCTCTACCAAATCCACAGGTAGTATAGTGTAGTGGTAACACGCCAGATTGTGGCAGTATGTCTCATGCTCATAACTCTCTGGTATCCCCGGTTCAATCCCTGGTACTGCCATATATTTGTTTCGTACTAGCTTTTGGGTAAATCAATAGTGCTATTTATTCTCTGAACCGGGTTCCTTTTTTGGTTTGTGGACACACTACTTGGCTTAACAACATCTCGAATATTGCGATGGAATGAGACATACCCGTCTATTGTATGACAGAAAACTTAAGCCGTAGCCTTTCATCAATTATACCAAGCTTTGCCAATCCATGCGAAGAAGCCAGAACTGATCTCATCTTGTCTAAACCCAGCGCCATAAACAAAACCCAAACGCTCAAGTTCAAGTAGGCTGTAGACGTATGCTCAATTGTAACTTCTAATATCATGCATCTCATCTGCAGCTCTCCAACCCCGATTCTCTTCACTGGCTTGCTCTAATGCTGATTTCCCCTTCTGGGCCTTCTTTTGAGCCAACAACCTCTTCCCAATTTCTTGGTTCGATTTGTCTTTCTTAAAACGTGCTTCCGCGGCAGCAGCGCGTCGTGCTCGTTCCTAGTTCAATAATCAGCACTGCTGCCATATCCAACATAATACGTTGATGGAAGTACTTCATCATTTTTCTGTCTGACAACTTCGGGAGCTTCCTGAATCTCTGGCTCTTTTGGTTGCGTTGTGGCAGTTGATTCTTGGGTAGATTGACGCTGTGATTGTCCCATTTTGGTTTCTCTCCTGTCTGCCTTGTCCTCTGCTAATTGCCTCTGTCTCTGGTTCCTTCTTGGGGTATTATATCTTAAATTGTCCCGCCTCAGTCTCTGATCCGTAACATTAAGATCACGAAACTTAAATGGACCGATAAAAACAAAAAGTGCAATTCCGAGGAGGATGAAGAAGAGTTTGTCGTCCATTCAGAGGTAATTGATTTCAGCAAAAGGAAAGATAAAGAGACGGCGACACAGACATACAACAGTCAACACAGCAAAAGACGAAGAGAGCCAGAGGTGGAGAAAAACAGAAAAATGAGAATGTCGATGGGGAGTTGAAGAGTTTAAAATAACTTTACGCGACCGTTTTTGGCGTCGATCCTCCCAGGCAGAAAGGCTGTGCCGCAACTGATTGAAGATTCAAAACCTGTGTTACAGCAGGGACGAGCTGTAAGTGGATACCTGCGCCCCGCTTAGCGTAGAGTTAAGCTCAAACTTCATTAGGGGTCAATCTCTTTTGTCTCATTAAAAATCTGTGAGATAATTCTACACATAATTTAACAAACAAACTGCTTGACGTTCTATTCTCTTGTGAGGCACAGAGATAGCGAATGTGGCGTTCCAGTCGACGACATGAGCAATAGATACGCACCTACCTTGATACCTTAATGTTCCAGGTTGTACATTTAGCTTACGTCAGAATTTATCGAGCGATTCGCCTACCTTAGGTTTTTACACTTCCAAAGTGAAGATGCAGATATCACGGATTGAGTTATTGGATCAGTAGTCGTTCCAAGCAGCATGTCATCTGAAGCTCCCGAGTGTATAATTCGGCCAGCGTCATCATTACAAGAAGCCCACGACGTATCGTGGCCCCTCATGCAAAGCCTTGGTTGGGTTAGTGGAAGCATTCCAAAAAGCCAGCAGGTTTATAGATATTGATATCAACTCCCAGAACCGAGCGTCAGATGATTGCAAAACGCACTATATCTCAGCAACTGCCGAAACTGGACCAAGTGGTTGGCTGGTGGTTGCCAGCAAAACCAACCCAGAAAAAGCCGAAGGATGTGTTGTCCTACTTGTGTACCCTAACAGTACAGGTTGGCTGGGATTGTTCATGCTCAACCAATCAGTACGAGGGCTCGGGTGGGGAGGCAAGCTCTTTCAAGCTGGTCTGGACGTGTTCAAAAGTAACGGCACCGACATGGTCGGATTGGATGCTGTGGAAGAGCAAGTTAGTACCTATGCACGAAGGGGCTTTGTCGAAAAGGCGAAGATTAAAATCATGGTTCGCAAAAGTCTGAAAGAGAACAATTTACCAGGTGAAATGGAGCATGTCCACGAGATGTTAGAGAGATGTACCGATCTCAGTCAATTGCCGCCTAAGATCTTAGTTCAAAGTGATCTCGAGCATAGTGGAATGGAGCGAAGAGCGCTTTGGACTAAAGAAGCACTCTTTGATCGAGATGATACCATCGGACTTGGTCTAGTTAAGGAAGGGGAGCAAGAAGAACTGGAAGGATGGATTATAATCCGGAGTTGTGAACAAGGCCGAAGGTTTGGCCCACTCTACGCCGACTCAGCTGAGATTGCTAGTTTCTTGCTCCGAATTGCCATGAGAAGGTTAGGGGACGAAGATGGCACTTTAGCCGCAGAAGTTTGGCCGAATAATCCTAAAGCGGTCCAGGTGTTCGAAGATGCCGGATGGGAGTGGGCTGGGTTGGATTATCATCGTATGTGGCTTGATGGCAAGTTTCCGGAGGCTCAAAAGCCGGGCGGAAAAGCTGATAAAGAGGTATACGCTGTATTTGATGCGGCGGAAGGATAACTTGTGAAGATAGCATTGCATTACAATTTTCTACGTAATGACAATACTCATGGACGTATAAATCATTGACTCTTAGCAATCATATAAAGCATTGCTTGCATGTTTCGCTAACCACTATTGTAGTGCGACAGATCTCATGTTCGGATTCAGAGATTGAAGGGAACACGAACGAAGCTTGGCCTCCACACTGGCAGCTCTCTGACTCGTCTGTGTTTGTCTTCGCTGACAACAAATTGTCAGGCTTCAACTCTTTCTCTTTAGCTTTCAATTCGATCGGATTTCCACCAGATCTCTCTCTCTCCCGCATATTTCTCCTCTTCGGCGTCTCGAAAGGTTGTTGATTCAGCGTTCCGGATCATGAATACAGCTTTCGGTGTCCTAGAAGACTTCTTCGAACTAACATCTCTCAAGCTAAGTCAAATCTTCCTCATTAAGCTTCCAGAATACGACAACATTATACCATAGTCAGGAATCTGTCACATTAACTGTCATACGGCTGGGGCTCTTTTGTACATGTACGCGCAACTAAAACAAGACCGCTAAAGTGGAAGACTTATTGGGGCTAAGCTCGAGAACTGATTTGTACGAAGCAGTTGTGTTCACGATTTTTAACTCCTATGACAGAAGTTTGCAAAAGCTCTATGAATCCGGATTGAGGTTTTGTGCCCTGGTCATCTCTACGTTTGGCCTTCTCTGTCCCGAGCCAGACAGACTGTAGGCAATATTTGCAGACTTTGGTTCTGATAACGGGTTCCCGCCAATAGGTTGATAAAAGGCCAGAATCCTATCGCACAACACTGAAAGTACCTGGGAATACTCCTTTAACGGTCTGACTAACAGCCTGTCAGAAACAAGTACCGATCCCATAGATACTATTGTGGCCTCTTTGTTGGCCTTTGTAGTTCGATCTTTAAGCTTATCTTCCAATTGAGGCAATACAGCTCGGCAGGCAAGAATTCTAGAGGAGATGGCAATACCATCACTCCACAACCAGTCTCCCCTGCTGCGACCAATAGACAGCAACGATAAGCACGGGATCATATGATAATAAGCTTCAGACAATTAGAGGCAGGTGGTTTGATATAGACGAGTTCACACACGCGACATCTGAAGTCGCTGAAAACGACGGACACAAATCTGTTTTCCGGTACGCTCCCACCGATTGCCCCACTGAGCACACTCTTGAAATGTTGTTTGGGCCAAACCAGTGTTTTGGTTGTAGAAAGCGCGTGGTTGGGAATAAGCATAACTAATCCACGGCGAAAATCGGATCTGGCCCAGCGAAACTCAGCGAGCTCAACTGACTCGCTGCAGGACTCACTCGAACGATCTGCATACAGGGAAGCGAAGATCTTATAATGCAAGATTATAGATGCATGGAAGTGGTGGTTTTGAGAGCTGGGGGGTGACAAAACAATAAAGATGAAAGGATAGGAATTCTTTCGAACGGCAGTCAAATCAGTCTTGGTACCTTGTCAAACTTTTGAAAGCCGTACAAGGTCTAAAATCCTAGATTTATTTCAGTACGCGAAACTTAGCATACTGCGCCGACCTCAAATAAGTCAGATAGGACTGGAGATAACAAGTACACTTCTCTAGCTTCAATATCTACTTCAATACTTTCACATCAGGATTGGGCAATGCTCTATCTAGCTTGCAGAAACTTCGGGCAGAAGGATGTAGAGATAATAGCAATTGCTTTGCCGTACTAGTATACAGCATCAATAGTTCATCATTGATGCGCTAGAAATAAACGCCAACCTTTCACATCCATTTCACACCACTCCAGTAGTGTAAAGTCGCCCAAACACCAATGCCATGACCCAGAGCACTACACAAATGCGAAGGATGAGGAAAAATTTGACGCAAGAATGATCTAGAATACACGCCAGCAGTCCATGCCCTAGTATACCATACCGTCCCATTTTTTAAACACCCGAAGCTCAAAGTACCGCGTACCCCCAAAAGAATGCACCCGCGCTGCTAACGTGGAAGAAGCAAATACTAAAGCTTCACACTTTTATACTCCCTCATCTTTCTTATCATTTCGCCATACCTAGGCGTTGGCCGGGATGATCGGTCTACGGGTAGTGGTTGGTTGCCAAGTCAGCGGAAAAGTCTTCGATTTTAGTCCCATGAAAGCCATGAACCGCGTTAGCACGAAGATCTTGAACCGCATTCTCGACATTCTCCTCGTATCTGCCCTTGGGTCTAGATATTGATGGCGCATCCATGCCGAGGAGAGCAGGATTGTAAGCTGTTAGCTCGGGGGGTACAGAAGCATAATCGGTGTCTGTAGGAGGCGCCAAAGTCCCCGACAGGTAGGGCTGGACTGGGAGAGCGTGCAAGCCTGAGCCTTCTTGCACACTGCGTTGACCATTGTATTGTTGGATTGGCGGGCCTGTGTTGTATGCATTGGGAGCGAACTGGTGACTACTATAGGCATTTGTATCCTGAGCAGTTGTGGTCATCGGCACATATGGAGATGGTCCAGTGGAGAATGGGCCGCCTGGATACATGAACTGCTGGCCAGGTTGTTG